CTTTTCTGGTCATTGGGGAATGGTTTTCCCCATATTTCTACCCTATAAGAAAAGTGAAAATAATTGGATATGAGGAAAAATGATTTGTTGATGTTAGACACCCGACTTTTTGTTTAGCATTTTCGATTTTGTCACACTTAAGTCAAAACAAGTGTTTGTTCACATTTGAAATTATTTTTCTAATGCTGAAGTCAACTTAGAGCAAACATTTCTTTAACATACATTACCTTAAACAACCCTATCCTTTTTTAACTCCAGTACATTCTTTGGATTATGTCACCTCAAAGGGTAAATAATGTATGTATTTCCCACTTAATGTCAATAACCTGTTCTTTAAAATCATAACTTTTGTAGGAATATATTGGAGGTAATTTTACTTTATTTAAAAATGGGAAAATTAGACCGCCCTTCTACTCAAAACCAATTCCTTAAATGTAATTAAAATGCTAGTTTGCTTCAAAAAGTTCATGGAAAGATTTCTATTCTCTTTTCATTCTGTTTTCCCCCAAACTTTTGAAAGTGCCGTGGTATAGTGCATTACTCACTTACAAGAAACACGCTTTTTACGTTGTATGTATTTAAAGTAAACAACTTGTATGTGATGTAAAAAAAATACAATACAAAACGAAACTTAACAACAGTTTACTGATGTGCAAATAATCATTTTTTATGATTCACATAGCCTCTATTAGGGTTAGAAACCTCACTGAAGTACATGTGGTTAACATTCACTGTGATTTTCAAAACTTCTGCCTGTGGTTCTGAAGTCATATTGATTGTATTTGACTTGTAATTTAAGACTTTCTCCCCCACATAGTTTTGATAAGTATGTTTTGAGTTTTGGGGATGTAGATGTATTATTCAGCATTTGCTGTATAAGAAACAGATCAAACCCCAATGGTTTAAAAATCCCAGACATCTTATTTTTTTTTTTGAAGTTCTGTGGATCCACATCTTGGGGTGCATTTAGCTAGGCAGTACTCATTCTATTGTTCCCTTGATTACAAATATGGATTTAGTCACCTGGTAGCTTGACTGAGTCTGTGGTTAAAGATGGCTTCACTCACATGGTTTGCACTG